CTAAAATGCTAGGTGTTAAGAGGAGAGAACGACATGGACTAAATTAGTTGAATAAATTTTCATGCAGATGATAGAATTTAAATGTATTTGGATGATATTTAGACTGAGGATTTAGGTGAGAGAGTGGATGAGATCAGGTAAAAATTGTAACATTAAATAAATATATTCAGAAAATAAGAGTTAAAAACAGTTTACATATTAAATAAATGTCTTACATTCTGGTTTGTCTTTCATTTATGATCATAAGGATCAATGTTGCTATTATTATTGTTAGGCTCTATGTTTGATAATGACAAAATTGTTTGCTTCACTTAGACTCCATAGTTATCTATTGCATGGGGAAAAACATTTGCTTTCATACTTTAATGTCAACTTAAAACCAACTTAAAGCCTAACCTAAGATTTTAATGACAATTTAGTTTTGTTTTTTTATTTTGACACCAATTTTTTTATAACTAAATAAAGTTGAAATCTATATTATATTTACAGGTTTAAGATCATTCTGTCAAGACTTAGTCATCTGCTTTAGAAATAGATAAGGTAGTCCAAATAAAAACAACCAGATAATCTAAAATCTAAATTTAGCCATGATTTTTCAATTTCTACCATGCTAGGCAGGAAAGATCCATATTTGATTGATTTCAGAATTCTCCTCTTTCCCTACTTCTGCACACCCTCTGCAAGAATGACAGAGATATGTAATGGTCAAATGGAGGAAGCAGGAAAGAGAACAAGAATGAATAATCCACAAAGTGGATAAATTCTTGAATAACTGAAAGTTGAGCAGGAGTTTTTCAATCTAATTTCTTTTAAAAAAGGAAGGGCAAAGAATCAGATAAAGTAGTCAATTATATCTTTTCTACTTCAAGGTATTAATATTCTGTTAATGCAACTTTGGTTAATTCCATTACATTGAAAGTTTTGTTTCTGTTTTAAGTTCAGGATGCAGAAATGTCATTTCTCATTTGACAGTATTTCTGTGAACATACTCAAAATAGTTCTGTGGTATGGTTACTGAAGTGAACATATTGGGAAAATATTACCATACTGTCTTGATTGAGAAGGTAAACATTTATTGGTATTATCAGTTATTTGTGAACAGAACAATAGTCCATTTTTAAGACTAAATACACCATTTTGACTATATTTTGCCATGTAATTATTTTAGAGTACAATTCTCATTGTTTTTTCAGCCTAGGTTTGAATCTTGTCTAAATATAATGAGCTTGAACCTCCAAGATTCCCAAAAGTGGGCTCTTAATACCGTTGGAAGAGAGTTCCTTATAGGCCTGTGTTAGAAAGCTTATGTGTTGTCTTAACTGAAAAGCAGGGAGTAGAACTTGAATTGTAATGGTCTAAATATGCTTGACCCCCACCCCCGCATTTCCTACAGTTATCACAAGTAAAAATGGTTAAAATAGATATGTTGTTAAAGTGGAGAATACGTATCCCTCTATTTCTGGATGAATATATTTGAAAATCAAAACAAAGTTCATGTTAGAAAATATGTGTGTGTGTGTGTGTACATACATATATATATGTATATGCACACATCACAAATATAACCTTTTTTATAAATTGAAAACACTGTGTTTCAGGGAACAGACAGATCAGTCACAAAGATTGGTTGATAAAGGTGTGGATTCTATAATCAAATCTGTTATAATTTTAATAGGAAGGAACATAATGAAGTAAAAAGGAATAAAAGATATAGTGTTTAAAAATTGAATTAATTCCTACCTGTACTCATTCTCATCTATAAATACCCATTAGTATTTATATAAGTCAGCTAATCTTTGTTAATGTATGGTTCTTCATCCATAAAATGAAAATAATATTGCCTAATATATCTTCTTCACAAGATTATTAAGAGAATTAAGTTATTTTACACAGTGGCATAGAGAAGAGTAAATTACCTTAACTCTTATTCATACATGAATTTTATCTAGTATATATTAGGCACTTGTTAAGTGCCAGACATGATACTAATTGCTTTACCTTCTTACCATCTAATACTCAGATCAACCCTGTGAATTAGACAAGAAATGAATAAGTGATGCTCAAATACTGTATCATATAAGATTATATAGCTAGTTAAGTAACAACACTGAGATTTGTTCATGCTTCCAACCTGTGGTTTTAACTCTTTGCTAAACTACCTCTTATGTTTAGATTGAACTATGAGTTAAAGATATGCTCTAGAACTTTTCCTAAACTCTAGGGCCCATATATTAGTACATATGGTAAAGTTTCCCTGGAAACGTTTTAGAGCATTTATCTCAGATACATGTTGTTTAGATATTGGAAAATTCTTTCAGCACACTAATTCCTACTTACTTGCTTTGTTCTCTTAGGTGGATACATTTTACAAATATATTACCTCAAGCCACCTCATTTTGATATTTGATTCCTTTCTTGACTGAGACAGTCTGCTTCTATTTACTGTTGACCCTTGAGTAACACAGGGGTTATGGGTGCCATTCTCCTGCACAGTTGAAAATCCACATATAACTTTATACTCTCCCAAAACTTAACTACTAATAGCCTACTGTTGACTGGAAGCCTTATCACATAATTTGTATATTAATTAGCCAATTAACACATATTTTGTATATTAAATGTATTAATACTGTATTCTTACAACCACGTAAGCAAGAGAAATGTTAAGAAAATACATTCACTGGGTGCCTGGGTGGCTCAGTTGGTTAAGCAACTGCCTTCGGCTCAGGTCATGATCCTGGAGTCCCAGGATCAAGTCCCGCATCGGGGTCCCTGCTGAGCAGGGAGTCTGCTTCTCCCTCTGACCCTCCCCCCTCTCATGCTCTCTCTCTCTCTCTCCTTCTCTCTCTCAAATAAATAAATAAAATCTTAAAAAAAAGAAAATACATTTACAGTTCTGCATGTATTTATTGAAAAAAATTCATGTATAAGTGGACCCTTACAGTTCAAATCTATGTTGTTCAAGGGTCAACTGTATTTCTAATAATTATAGATAACATTTATGCAGCACTTTGTGCCAATTATTTATCTGCTTTATCTCTCTATCCTCACCGCAACTCTCTTTGAAACCATTCGTACAATCACCGATTTTCAAAGTAGGAAACTAAGACATAGAACATTTAAGTGATTTTCATAAGGTTATCCAGCCAGTAAGTGAAGATGGGATTCCATCTTAATTCAGTAGACTCTGCTTTGAACAACCTTAAGTTTGAACTGCAAACAACATAATAAAAGTTTTTAAACAAACAATTTAGTAGTATTTTCACACAACAGGGAATTCCATTTTCAGTCAAAGATAAAGAAGTACAGTGTTTTTCTTAAAATCATTTTTTAATTTGCTTCTGTTTCCATGTCTTGGTTTATACATAACTTAAGGAAAATTCATTCTAAGGCAAGCACCTGTAGAGATAAGGCACCAGGTACGCCAGTATGCAATAGGTCCAAATTGTTAATCAAACAGAAAAAGGTAAAGGGGTAGATGAAGTCTTATCCCCCTGTTTGCTGATATCCAAAGTAAATATAAATACTAAGGGAAAATGTTGAGGACATCTCAAGAATTGACTTACTGACTTCTTTGCCATTTTATTAATGTCTAGTTAATGAGGTATCTGTAGGTATTATGGCCTTTCCAAAAAAGAAAATTGGCTTTTCTCATTCAATTTGTACATAATGCAGCTTTTACACTTCCTTCGGTTCTTATTAAGAAGCTGAAATACTTCAGCAAAAACTTTAGGACAGCATAGTTTCTGATGAAATTTCATGTAGGGAGAAAAAACATGAGAAACATCCCCATATCGTCTTTTATACCCTTCATTTGCAGTGGATAAATGACCTGTCTTGGTTTGACTATCTTCCTGCTGCTTCACTGGGCTTCAAGGTTTTGTGGACATGGTGGTCTAGGTCAATGGAATCTAGTAAGGTGGAAGGTTTTCTTTCCTATGTATCTATCATGAAAAAGTTCAACAAAAACCTACTGCAAAATGTTTCTTATCCTTTTGTCAGATATGAAGTAGTGAGCAGGACTAGTTCTTTATGGAAATTTTTACACCCTTAATAATAATTTCAAAAATGTAGAGCAGGTAGTACTGCAGGCATATAGGGATAACTTCATATTTCTGCCTTCTCTTCTTTTATAGGACCTACTATATTTGATTCACTTGTATCAATTGAAATATCCTCCACATCTCTTATTTCTCTGACCCTCACATTTATGGGTTAGGTTTGTGGCTTACTGATTTTCAGTTTTGTAGAAAGACCTATGTTTTTCTGTCACATAGCCTACAGCACAACTTTGACAGCAGATGAGCAGTTCTCCAAGGGCGATGAGCCAGGCTGGCTATCTGAGAGACTCCAGAGAGGACCCAAGGAAGAGCTGCTCACCTCTTGACCCTTTCAGGCAGATGCAGAACTACAGTCTGCAACCAACAAGGAAGAACTGCATAAAATTTGTTAGAGACCCACATTAATTTGGGAATATATACTGGTTTTGTGATATATCCTTAGATATTTTCACATGCATGTGTTCAATCTTCCCATCTTATAAAATAAAAGAAACAAATATTTTGTCATCTGTTTTCTTTATATCTGCTGATATCCCCTTCTCCCAGTAGCAGCACTTAATGACCAAATACCTAATTAATTTTATTGCTTTAATTAGTATAGACCCAAGATCTATCTTATGCCGAATATACAATTGTCTTCAATTTTATATCCAATTTCCTACTATTACTGTGATAAAATATTACTTAAATTTAAATTTTATTTTTAAAATGTATATATTATTTTTAATATGTATATATTATGTAACATTATTATGTAACACTAATATATTAGTACAGTATTATACTTACTTAAATGCTTATCTTAATGATGTATTGATACTATATCTATACTGTATATTAATTCATAGTTTTTTTTAATTATTCTTAATATTAGAACTATAATTTAAATAATTTTTGCTGGTACATTTTCATGTGCTTTTTTTTTTCTTTACATTTTAGGTGTACAAGAATTTCCAGAAAACATTAAGTGCTGTAAGTGTTTAACAATTATTGAAGCCAGTGTCAATCCCATTTCTAAGTGAGTATGAATGATTACACTTTATTTATATTTATGTTTCCATTGGATAATAATGTACCCAGATAAAGGAAATTCACATAATAAATGAATTTTAAATACTGCATTTAAAATTCAATTTAATAGGATGATGAAAAATAATCAAATCAGAATAGTTTAACAAAAGATGATTAAAAACATAGCTGAATAATGATGAAGGTCTAACTGGCACAAGATGGCATTACTTTGAGGTTAACTATGTCATCATTCTGTGGTTCTCAGGCAACATTCCATGAAAGAGCACTGAAATGAAAGAAACAGTTATTAGTTATGATCTTGGTAGAAAATGAACATCAAGGATCTAATGAAAGTTCAAGAGAGTACAAGAGTTTGAGATATTGATAGGTGCATGAAAATAGCTGATCATGTAGTTCCAGTTGGAAAATGAATTAAGTATAACCAGAAAAAGGGACAATTTGTGTACAAGGAAGAGTGGAAAGAGAATTCTATGAGGATAACAGAATGGAAGACTTGGATGGTAAAGTTGTTGTGATCAGAAATGGGGCATTTGTGGCTTATGATCGGTTAGTAGAGAAATGCCATGGGAAGATGAGACCCAGCATGTGTCAATGTTGGCAAATTATAGTTATGTCATAGGGATGGTGTGTGCTGTGCTATCAAATAGGTCAAGAAACATTGGAGTGAATGGATTGGATAAGTCACAAATCTGAATGTTAAAGTCACTTAACAATAGAAGTGGACATAAAACCTGGAAGGACAGTAGCAGCAATATCTGGAAGAGGTTGAAACAAATCAGTGGTATTGGGATGCAGATAATGAGTCTCAGTAAGACTAACATTATAATTATACAAAAACTGACAGTAGGATTTGAGAAAAAACCTTAAGTCATCTGTTTATATTAAATTGGGGAGACTGGGAAAAACTGAAGCCCACTGGAAAAGCATTTAATGGGTGGAGTGTTTTTTAGAAGAACAAAGGAAATTTATCAAAGGGAGTTTGAAGGGAAATTTTTCATCAGTACAGTTGAGAAGAGGCTGTTTCTCTATGGATCATGAGAAGAGGCTGTAGATGAGACTAGGAACAGAATATAAAAGAAGAAGATAAAGTTTAGATGGAGATCTTTACAGTGAATTGTATGTAAAATAATTTAAGGCCTTTAGTAGAAAGTGTGGAACATCAAGAAATAAAATGTATTTGAAAGAGAACAACTTTTCTACCTCAAAAGTAGAATATGGAAGAGAAAAAAAAATTTTAAAAATATTTTTCAAAACTCTTAAAGCAGAATGCAATTCTCTCAACAAAGAGTAGACATTACGAACTTTTCACATCAGGACTACAACCATATCCTTGACTTAAATGATAATCCAGAGCAGATGATGAATTGTTTTGACTTCTAGTTCTTTAATCCTAATAGCTCATCTTATTTAGAAATCATGATAAGGTCTTTGGAAGTGGAAATCAGATGATAATTTATATCTTTATGAAGCTTCAAAACTATAGTTTTATTGGCTGTGTCTCTGGATTCCTTCCATATGTTTAGCTTTTTAAAAGATTTTTAAAGATATACTTCACATACAGTAAAATTCACCTTTTAGCTGTATGGCTCAGTGACTTTTGACAAATGTATACAGTTGTGCACCACCACCGTACTAAGATATAGACTATTTTCATCTCCTCAAAAAGTTCCCTCAGCTCAATTATCCACTTCTCTGATTTCTATACCCATGGTTTTGCTTTTTCCAAAATGTCATATAAATGGTTTCATACTTTTGTGTCTGACTTCTTTCACTTAACACAGTGATTTTGAGATTTATCCACATTGGTTCAAGAATCAGTATTACATTCCTTTTTATTTCTAGGTAATATTCCATTGTATGGAAATACCACAATTTATTATCTATTCATCAATTGATAGACATTTAGGATGTTTGATTCAGCATATGTTTTCTATTGGGTAAACACCTAGGAGTGGTATACTGGGTAATATGGTGCATGTATGCTTAACCTATAAGAAATTTTCAAATCTTTTTCCAAAACAGCTACCCCATTGTCTTTACCATCAGCAGTTTATTAGAGTATCTGTTGTTCTTCATCTTTATCAGAATTTGGTGCTATCCAGGCACCTGGGTGGCTCAGTTGGTTAAGAGTCTGCTTTCCACTCAGGTTGTGATCCAGGGGTCCTGAAATTGTGCCCCAAGTCTGGCTCCCTGCTCAGTGGGGAGTCTGCTTCTCCCACTCCCTCTACTGCTCCCCCTGCTTGTGCTGTCAAATAAATAAATCTAAAAAAAAGAATTTGGTGCTATCAGGTTTGTTTTTTTTTCTATTTTTACCAACATACCTCATTGTGGCATTTCACTGTAGTTTTAATTTACATTTTTAATGTCCAGGTAACATGTTTTCATTTTCATGTATTATTTACAATTTGTATTGCTTCTTCAGTAAAAATTCAAATCTCTTGTTCATTTTTTTTAAAGGTTTATTTATTTATTTTAGAGAGAGAGAACGCCCAGAGAGAGGTGCAGAGGGAGAGGGAGAGTCTCAAGCAAACTCCATGCTTAGCATGGAGCCGGAATCAGGCCCCATCTCATGACTCCAAGATCACAACCTGAAATGAAACTTAGACTCAGATGTCTAGCTGACTGCACCACCCAGATGCCCCACATCTCTTATTCATTTTTATTGCCTTTTCTTATTATTATTGAATTATAAGAATTCTGGGGGTACCCGGGTGGCTCAGTTGGTTAAGCCTCTGCCTCCGGCTCAGGTCATGATCCCAGGGTCCTGGAATCAAGCCCCACACCTGGCTCCCTGATCAGTGGGAGGTCTGCTTCTCCCTCTCCCTCTGCCCCTCCTCCTTGCTTGTGTTCTCTGTCTCTCACAAATAAATAATCTTTTTTTTAAAGATTTTATTTATTTATTCATGAGAGACAGAGAGAGAGAGAGGCAGAGGGAGAAGCAGGCTCCCAAGGAGCAGGGAGCCGGATGCGGGACTCGATCCCACAACCCTGGGATCATGACCTGAGCCGAAGGCAGACGCTTAACCATCTGAGCCACCCAGGTGCCCTAAATAATCTTTTTTTTAAAAAAAGAATTCTTTATGTATTCTGGCTAAAAGTCCTTTATTTGTATGCAAGTAATTACTCCTATGACTTATCTTCTCATTTATATATTTTTTTTAGTTTTATTATGTTATGTTAATCACCATACATTGCATCATTAGTTTTTGATGTAGTGTTCCATGATTCATTGTTTGCATATAACACCCAGTGCTCCATGCAATACGTGCCCTCTTTAATACCCATCACCAGGCTAACCCATCCCCCCGCCCCCACCCCTCTAGAACCCTCAGTTTGTTTCTCAGAGTCCATCGTCTCTCATGGTTCCTCTCCCCTCCTCCAAATTCCCCCCTTCATTTTTCCCTTCCTCCTATCTTCTTTTTTTTTTTAACATAAAATGTATTATTTGTTTCAGAGGTAAATCTTCTCATTTTTAAAATAGTGGCTTTCAAAGAGAAGATTTTAATCATATATTATTTTATTGGGTTTATGCTTCTTCCTGTATAAGTGATCTTGGCTAAATTCATAGTCTTAAAGATTTTCCCCTATGCTTTCCTCTGGAACTTTTGTAGTTTAGGCTTTACACTTAGGTCTATGATCTATTTCAAGCTAAATTTTAGGGGCACCTGGATGGCTCAGTCAGTTGAGCATCAGGCTCTTGATTTCAGCTCAGGTCATGATCTCAGGGTAGTAGGATCAAGCCTGCATGAGGCTCCCTGCTCAGCTCAGAGTCTGCTTGTCCTCCCTCCCTCTCTGTTCCCTCCCCCTGCTTGTTTGCTAGCTTGTTTGTTTGCATATGGATATCCATTTATTCCATTACCATTTGTTGAAAAAATTATCCTTTCTTCATAAAATTACCTGAGTACTATTTTTTTGTAAATCAATTGATCATATGTGTTTGGATCCATTTCTGAATTTTCCATTTTGTCCATTAATCTATATGCTTATTCTTATATCAATTCCATACTGTCTTAATTACTATAGCTTTATGGTAATTCATACAATCAAAGAATGTGAGTCCTTAAACTTTATTCTTCTTTATCAGAATTATTTGGGCTATCTATACCTTTTGCTTTTCCATATAAATTTTATAATCAGCTTGCTATTGTCTACAAAAATGTAAAATCCTTCTGGAATTTTAATAGAGATTACATTGAATCTATAAATCAATTTGGGCAGAATTAGCATCTCAAAAATATTGAATATTCCTATTCCTGAGAATAATATATCTCTAAAGTTACTTATATCTTTTAAAATTTCTTTTATCAGGGTGCCTGGGTGGCTCTGTAGGTTGGGTAGTGATCCCAGAGTCCTGGGATCCAGCATCATGTCGGGCTCTCTCTGCTGGGCTCTCTGCTCAGCGGGCAGCCTGTTCTCCCTCTCCCTCTGCCTGCTGCTCTGCCTAGTGTGCTCTCTCTCTGTCAAGTAAATAAGTAGAAATCTTTAAAATAATAATAATAAAATAAAATTTCCTTTATCAATGCTTTGTAGATTTCAGCATATGAATCTTGTATATGATTCATTCATCCTGTTCCAGGTATTTCATGTTTTTGTGCAATTGCAAAAGATTGTTCCATTACTCAATTATTTATTGTTAGTATATAGAAATATGATCAGTTTTTCTTTATCAATTGTATATCCTGCAATCTCACTAAATTCACTTATTTTAGTAGATGTTTTGTAGATTTGTGGCTATTTCTTATGTGGACTATCATATCACCTGTGAATGTAGACAGTTTTTTTTTTTTCCATCATTTTCAACCTATGTGCTTTTTACTTTTCTTTCTTTCTTTCTTTCTTTCTTTCTTTCTTTCTTTCTTTCTTTCTTTCTTTCTTTCTTT